GAACTCCAGTCACCTACCAGGATCTCGTATAAAAAAAAAAAAAAAAAAAAAAAAAAAGAGTAAGACAGACTGAATGAGGGCAAAGGGGCGGAGCCCAGCGAAATGGGCGGGGCCGGGTGGAAAGGGCGTCCTGGTACTCTGAGAGGGCCTAGGAGGGGCGGGGCTCAGAAGGCAGTGAGGATGGTGTAGGGAGGGGATCTTGTCTAGAGGGCGCGGCCTTGGAAGGGGGAGGGATGGAGGCCCCCCTGGGCGATCAAACCCCCCTCACTGTCATCTCCACGCCACCCCTCAGGGTTGTGTCGGAGGCCAAAGTTCCCTGATCATGAGCGCCACTGGCCAGGATTCCACCACAAACAGACATCGAAGAAGTAGGAACAACCCCCAGTCACCCCTTCGTGACCCCAGCGTCACTTCGGTGAGGCCCCAGACGTGCCCTGGTGAGGGTGAGGGAGAACTAGCCCAACCCTCTTGGACTCTGACCCTTTCCCTCTGATTGGCAGAAGCGAAGTACTAAGAAGGGTGCTGTACCCCGCTCCAGCCTCAATCTAGCGGAGGTGAAGAAGAAGGGCAAAATGAAGAAACTCAATCAAGCAGTGGAAGAAGACCTAATCCAGGGCTTTCAAGAGCTGGTGAGAGGGGCCTGGCCCTGCTTCAGGCTCCTGCGACAAATCAAAATCCTAAGGCTCCCACCTTGGCTCATAAGGGATGCTCCCTTTGCCCTGAATGGATCTGTGTCTCTCTTTTTCTCTGCAGGATATGAGCCCTGAAGCCAAGGTCCTGGTTGGTACTGGCTTGGTGTTCGATGAGCAGCTAAATGAATTCCACTGCCTCTGGGATGACAGGTGAGGCTGAGTCCTCCAGGCTGTCCCCAAATATGCAAATACACTCACACATCCCCCACCAAGTAAGAATGAATTTGTTTTTGGAGACAGGGTCTCACTGTGTAGTTCAGGCTAGTTTCGAACTCACTGTGTAGCCCAGGCTGGCCTCAAACTTGAGGCACTCTTCCTGCCTCAGGCTCCAGAGTGCTGGGATTGCAGGCATGGACTATCGCACAGGCTCAGAATGAATCCTTTCTAAAATCAGCCTGGAGACTGGAAGCAGAGGATTTACAAAGGTAGGGCTTTGCTGAGTGTGGTAGCACACTCGCCTGCCTGTAATCCCAACACTTGAGGATGCTGAGACAGGAGGAGTGCCTCAAGTTTGAGGCCAGCCTGAATTACAGAATGAGACCCTGTCTCAAAAAAAAAGAAAAAAAAAAAAGACGGGTGTGGTGGCACACACCTGTAATTGCAGCACTCAAGAGGCTGAGGCAGGAGGATCGTTGTGAGTTCGAGACCAGCCTGGGCTACAAAGTAAGCTCAAGGCCAGCCTGAACTGCATAGCAAGACCCTGTCTCAAAAAGACAAAAAAAATAGTTTAGACTCATGCTTCAAAGAGTTCCTCTTGTTTACCCAACATGTATTTATTGAAGTGTATACTTGTACCAGCAGTCAGTGGTGCCAAACAAAACAGGGTCCCTTGTCAGGGAGCTGTCTGGTAAGTAGAAGGACAGATCACTTAAACAGCCAACAGCAGTAGGAGTAATTTTTTTTTTTGAGACAGAGTCTCCTTGTGTAGCCCAGGCTGGCCTTGAACTCGAACTGATCCTCTGCCTCTTTTTTTTTTTTGGTCTTTTTTTGGTCTTTTTTGAGACAGAGTCTCGCTATGCAGTTCAGGCTGGCCTTGAGCTCACTTGATACCCCAGGCTGGCCTAGAACTCACAGTGATCCTCCTGCCTCAGCCTCCCTGAGTGCTGGAATTACAGGTGTGCACCACCACACATGACAGCAGTAGGAATATTTAGTCCCACACTAACATCCATTTGAGAGATATTTGTGTGAAAACAGAAGGATCACCCCTGACTCTGCTTTCAAAAGAATCAGCTAATTATTTTGCTCTGTGTTCAAAATGTATTCAGTGTCTATCCTCTCCACTCTAGTCCTCTGTGTGCAGCCTCCACACAGCAGCCTAAAACACATGTATGGGATGATGTTCCTTTAAAATATTTCAAGGACAGACCATTGTTTTCAAGGTACAGTGTGGCTGGGCGCGGTGGTGCACGCCTGTAATCCTAGCACTCGGGAGGCTGAGGCAGGAGGATCTTTGCAAGTTCAAGACTAGCTTGGGCTACAAAGTGAACTCAAGGCAAGTCTGAAGTGCATAGTGAGACCCTGTCTCAAAAAGACAGAAAAAAAAAAAAGAAAGTAGTAAGGTACAGTGTGACTTCTTCATCCTGGTCTCCAGGGTTCCATGTGATCTAGCTCCACCTCACCTATGTGAGCTCAGCAGGTCACAAATGTGACACCCCCCCATTTGTTTAGGTTCACTTCACACCTGACCCTTGGCTGCTCTGCTAGCCTGCCAGGTACCCTTTTGCGTCAGGCCTTTACCCCTGGCCACCACCCTCCCTCCACACATGATCTTAGATATTTTCCTAGCCCCTGCCAATGTTTGTTAATTATTATACTCATGTGTTTACTGATTTAGTAAACTATCTCTTTCCCCTGACCTAAGACTAACTCATGAGGGCAAAAGACTCACTTGTGGAATGCGTGTTTACCATTTATGCAGGAGCTAGGAGAGCGGCAGCAAACAGCCCTGGCTGCTGCGTGAGGGAACCAAGTAAACAGACAAACAGGAAGTGGCCGATGCAGTGTTGAAGAGAGCACTAGGGCGGGGGAGAGAAGCAGAGGGGGGTGGCGGGGTTGACATCCACGTTCCCGCTGAACAGGACAGTCGGAAGGCCTCCCTGGCAGCTGAGTGGGCTCTGAAGAAGGCGAGGGAGTGAGGCTTGGAGCCATGTGGGAGAAGCGGGCTCTAGGCAGGAAGGGCGGCTGCTGTCGAGCCTCAGCCAGCCAGAGGGGGGTGGCTGGGTTGAGAGCACAGAGGCCAGTGCAGGTGAAGCAGAGCATGGGAAGGGGCAGGTGGTGGGAGACGAAGCAGAAAGGGGATGGGGCCAGATTGCTAAGCCTAGACGTAGATTTTGGCTTTTCCTCAGAGTGGGATGCGAGCCCGGAGAGGGTTTTGAGTGGCCGAGGGTGTGGTCTGATTTGGATTTAACCACCGTTTGACTGCTGTGTGCAGAAAGGACACTGGGGGAGCAAGGTGGAAATGAGACGCCAGAGAGATGACGGGGCCCAGGCTGCAGGCTAGGGGGCCGCAGTGACAGTGGGAAAGAGAAGGCCAACAGCAGGCGGCAGGGCGAGCCTGGGTGGGTGGGGAGCCGTGGAGAGAGACGGGCTGCTTCTCAGTGTCCCCATTCCATGTGTCTGTGTCCCTGCATCTCTGTCTCCAGCTTCCCTGAACGCCCTGAGCGGCTCCATGCCATCAAGGAGCAGCTGCTCCAGGAAGGCCTCCTGGACCGCTGTGTGTCCTTTCAGGTGAGGCCCCCAGTGGATGCTGGGAGGAGGGGAGGGAGCTGGCAGGACTGGGCATAGCCTGCGTCTTAGCCCCTGATTCCTGTCTCCTCAGGCCCGCTTTGCCGAGAAGGAAGAACTGATGTTGGTTCACAGGTTAATACTTGGAGCCTGGCTGGGCTGGGGCTAACCAAGGCGGGCTGGATGCTCCGGGAAGGAATGTCAGGGCCGCTGTGGCTGGCCTTGGGCAAGGCAACAAGCCCACCTGAATCTGTGTTGCTGCCTGTGATAGGAGGGCTGGTAAACATAAGGCTCCTCTGGAGGGCATGACGAATGCCAGGTGCTTCAGCCCGGCCCAACAGTTCATCCTCCCAGGATGAACAGGCAGAGTGATCAAGGGCTTCCCCCCAGGGATCTGCAGAAACCCGGAGTAAGAGGCGTGGGGTGGCGTGGCTCAAAGGAAGCTAGCTTGGCGGGGAAGGTAGCTGAGCTAAGTTCGGAGAGGAGAAGAGCAGTCAGTGTGATCTCGTGGAGGCCGGGTGGGGGGCAGACAGCTGGAACCAGCCGGCCGCAGCCTGGAAGGGGGGTGTGGGGTGGCTAGAGCAGGAGAGAAAGGATGTTACTAGTAGTAAGGTGGGCTAGGGGATAAACAGGGACTGCGTCCTATGTCACAACTGTCCCCTCGGGTTGCCAATAGGGGGAGATCTGATCTGAGCGAAGGTCTTGGAGTGGGGGGCTCAACTGAGGAGGGACAGGACCCTGACTCTCATCCCTTATGTGTGTCCCCAGCCTGGAATTCATCGATCTGATGGAAACGACCCAGTATATGAATGAGAGAGAACTCCGAGTACTGGCAGATACCTATGACTCAGTTTATCTGCATCCGGTATGGATGGGCACTGTGGGGTCAAGGAGTGGTAGCAATTACGGGGCCCCTCATCACTGTCCCCACTTCATCCTGGGTGAAGCCGCCAAGCAGATAGGGCTGCTCCTCTGACCCTCTCTCTGGCTCCCCATTGCCTACAGAACTCGTACACTTGCGCCTGCCTGGCCTCAGGCTCTGTCCTCAGGTTGGTGGATGCGGTCCTGGGGGCTGAGATACGGAATGGCATGGCCATCGTCAGGTAGGACCCTGCGGCATTTTACTACTTCCGTTTCTAAAAAAGTCCTCTCAAGTGTAAAGCATATAGGCCTGGGTATTACTTTCAATGTAGTGTGAGAGGCAGAAGACACAAAAGAGGGCACAATAAAAAGTCTCTTTCCCTTCCTTGTCTCCCAAGCACCAGTTCCTCTCCTGATAGGTAGTCATCATAACCAGTGACTCTGGAGTCTTCCCACAGCTAGTCTTATTTAAGCAATAAGCATCATATTCCATTGCAGTAGTTACTTTATTTTATAACATTTTATTTTATTTTATTTATTCATTTTTTGGTTTTTCTCCGGTACCGGGAATCGAACTCACGACCTTGCACTTGCCAGGCAGGCGCTGTGCCGCTGAGCTAAATCCCCAGCTCCTATGTCATTCTATTTTGAGACAAGGTCTTGCTATGTAATTCAGGCTGACCTTGAACTCACTATATAGTCCAAACTATATAGTTTGAGGCAGGCTGGCCTCGAACTCACAGCAGTCCTCCTGCCTCAGCCTCTTGAGTGTTGGGATTACAGGCGTGCACCCCCACACCTGGTGCCATTAGTTCTAAGGTATATAATTTTTCATATGTAGAACTTTTTTTTTTGTTTTTTTTTTCTGGTACTGGGAATTGAACTCATGACCTCGTGCTTGCCAGGCAGGCGCAGTGCTGCTGAGCTAAATTCCCAGCCCCTGTAGAACATTTTGAAATCCAGATGCATCTAACAGTGATGTGTCAGAATTTTATTGGGAGCATCTTCTGTGTTTTTGTTGGTGTGTAAAATCATGGAGCATCTCATCACAGTTGGCTTTCTGGAGTTGACAAAATACAGAAGATAGAGCCTTTGTCGTGCCCACTTGCTTTCTTTCTAACAACTCGTAGTCAGCACTCACACATACCCTTCCATACCATGCATTTTTCACTTACAGGTCTTAGCTTTCTTTATCAGTATGGAGCTTAGACCGCAGTGGATGCCACTGTATAAATCTACTTTGGATTTACTACTCTCCCACCAGTGGGCACTTAGGTTTGCCCCAGTCATTTGCTGCTTCAAACAAATGTCACAGCAAATATGGAGCCATGTTTATAAACAAGTTATTTTACCCATTTTGTTGTACAGTTTGTGGGCTAAGTCCCCACAGCAGAATAACTGGCTATGAGAACGTATGCTTGGATAACTTCAATGGGCATCATCAAATCTCCTTTGGAGATAAAGCAGTAGAGTGGGGGTGGTGACAGTTTGAGGGTCCTTGTTACTCAGTTCCTGGCAGGTTAGCAGCAATGACAAGAGAGAAGTTAGTGGTCCCAGGATTAGAGAGCAGGGGTGAGTGTCTCTGTGAAGAGTAGGACCCTTCCCTCAGCTGTGGCCTGCCCTGCCCTGCCCAGGCCTCCTGGACACCATGCCCAGCACAGCCTTATGGATGGGTATTGCATGTTCAACCACGTGGCTGTGGCTGCCCGCTACGCTCAAAAGAAGCACCGCATTCAGAGGTCAGTGGCAGGGGCTGGGTGGGATGGGGTGGGATGCGGTGGAGTACCCTTCCTCCAGATTCTCCTTGGTCCCCTGGGACAGAGGAGACCCGCCCCCTTTCTCCCTCTCACAGGGTCCTTATCGTGGATTGGGATGTGCACCATGGTCAAGGAACACAGTTCACTTTTGACCAGGACCCCAGGTATACCTCAAGGGCCACCCTAGCTGCTAGACTCTGGGCTCCCTTCTCCCACCACCTCGTAGGCCCAGTCAGGGCAGGGAGGCAGGGAAGGCATTCATTGTTATTGGGCCACCCTAGGACCAGGGTCTGCTGCTCCCTGTGCGTCTGCTGTGTCCACATCTCACTGGCACAAACTGTTAGATTCCCATTTTACAGATGGAGGGAACTGAGCCTTACTGGTTCAAAGATCACACAGAGAAGAAGTGGGAGAGATTTGACTCTTGAAGATGTTTCTTCATTCTGAATTGTTTTTCCCTGGTCCTTCTCTTTCATTCTGGGTTTTTTTCCTCAAATGTCTCTCCATGCCTTTTGTCTTTTTTTTTTTTTTTTTTGAGACAGGGTCTCACTATGCAGTTCAGGCTGGCCTTGAGCTCACTTTGAAGCTCAGGCTGGTCTCGAACTCGCAATGATC